GAATCAGGTTCTTTATCTTCTGTCTGACATACACAGAGCGGTCAATTCAAATCTTTAGAACTTGTAGAATTGCCATAGATTCGGATCTTTATGATTCAAGCATTAGTGGATAACAAATGATTGTAGATCATGGATTATGTAAACAGTTCAAGTCCACCGCTAGTAGATATTGTCTGCTTTGGCCCGTTACGTATAACCGTCAGCCTCACGATTTTAAAACACGTCTAGAGGGAAAGGTTTTCACATTCGTTAGTGTAACGAATGTTTTGTTCCCGTCTTCGACCGATGTGGGATCTTATAGATTAATATGCAAGATTGCAATGTTTGATATATGGATATTTGGCAATCATGGATCGCTTCTTAAAAGCATGTATTTAACAATTTTAACTAATTATGACTTAGCAATTAGGACAGCTATTCATAGTTCAAATCTTCATCTCACATTTGTTTTATAAAAATCCTAACCATTTGTATTCGCATAGCTTACGATCACTCATATATGCCATTAATGTTTGCCTTCTAGTATCGTGAGCGTATGGACCTTTTAACATCCTAAGTTTAATTTTGTTTTCCTTCTGTCTACAGGCGAGTTCGTTTGCCCATGACTCGAGAACTCTTCATATCGTTTTTCATTCTTGGTTTAACTGGGTGAGGCCATATACCGTTTATCGTATTCTGACTTTGTTCTGTTCATTATCATCGATGAAGTACTAATTGCTACTGGTAAAAGAAAAAGAAGTTTCTATGGATCTGGAGAAACATTCTATTTCTAACACCTATCTTCCTGTGGTTAGGATTTTTGGTAACCAGCTTCTCTTTCTTGTTGGACTTGGCTACACTAATCCAACTTATGCTGCTGCCATACAGCCTTCCATTCCAGTTTTTACATTCCTTTTGGCTGTTATGATGGGGTTAGTTTGATCTATTATCGTTCAATTTTATCATTTGACTGATAGTTTTAGTTTGTGTTTTAAGAAGTGAGATGTATATAAGTTCCTTGTTCTATATTGTATCATGACTTATTTATGCAGCACAGAGTCTGTGAACTTACTTAAAGTGGAAGGACAGGCAAAGGTTGGCGGTACACTCGTTTGTGTCTCTGGTGCCATATTTATGGTTTTATTCCGTGGTCCAGCTTTGTTTGGGAACCCTGAATCTGATTTCGCGTCGCATAACGAAATAAGTGCAAGGGGTCAACCAGAGCCTGCCGGATGGCTATTGTCTAGCCTTCTGGAGTATGGATTGGATCATTTTCATATTGGGGTATTATGCTTGATAGGGAACTGTATGTGCATGGCTTGTTTCTTGGCTATCCAGGTACTTCACACTGATATTACACCTTTTCTGATAGTTACTACAGCATTTTTCGTAATTTGAAACAGCATTTGATGAAAATATCCAGGTTTCTTTTGTTTGATTCTTGCAAAAAGTGTTTGATTTGGATAGTTGGAAGCTCATTAAAAATGGGTTTTTGGAAGTAGAATCTAGGAGTGGAAGGAGAGATGGATTCCGGGTAGATTTTGCTGAACTGTAACAGAAGAATCAATAAATGATGAATGTGCAGTGTGCAACAAATCTTGAGCGAAGGTATATAGAAGCAGTACACGAAAACAATAAAAGACAAGGGATTAAAATGATATATGGCGAGGAAAAAGTAGTTTCATGCCGGAAAATAGCAATTGAAATTCAGTACTATCTTAGATATCAATTCTGAAGCTATTAACTGAATATATATATATATATATATTGATGTAGAGGTTGCTTCCTTGATGGTTTCAGAGATCTATGGTATCCTATTGTCTCATCGTAGGTGGGCGGGGAAGATGCATAGTGTCGTATTCTGAAATGTTTCAAGCGTTGTATGATACTGCTATATAATTTTCTTCATTTTATAGTCAGCAACGTTTAAGAGATCTCTTGTGCATTTTAGGCACGGGTGTTAAAGAAGTATCCTGCCAACTTATCGGTCACGGCATATTCTTATTTATTTGGTGCTACATTGATGGTGATCACATCTTTCTTCATGACCAATGAATCCACAGACTGGAATTTGACGCAATCAGAGTTTTTCGCTGTCCTTTATGCTGTAAGTTTGATCACACTTTATACTGCACCCCTCCTTTGGAACATTGTTGATTATGTATAGTTTACGGGATTGAATTCCTTTGAAAATTTTGAAAGCCTCTTCTCACCCCCATCGGTTCACTTTTGAACGATGACATCCGTACGCCTGTGAAATCCCACATTGGTTGGAGAAGGGAACAAAACACTCTTTATAAAAGTGTGGAACCCTTTCCCTAGTAGACACGTTTCAAAACCTTGAGGGAAAGTCTAAAAGGAAAAGTCCAAAGAGGACAATATCTTCTAGCAGTAAGCTTGAGCTATTACAAATGGTATCAGAGCCAGGCTACCGGACGATGTGCTAGTGAGGAGGCTGAACCCCAAAGGGGGTAGACACTCTGCAGTGTGCTCCAAAGGCGGTAGACACTCTGCGGTGTGCTCCAAAGGGGGTGGATTTTGAGATCCCACATTGGTTGGAGAGGGGAACAAAACACTCTTTATAAGGGTGTGGAAACCTTTTCCTAGTAGACACGTTTTAAAACCTTCAGTAGAAGCCCGGAAGGGAAACCCCAAAGAGGATAATATCTGCTAGCAGTGGGCGTTCACTATTACAACTTCCCACCTTCACACTTCAAGAGAACACATTATATTCCTATGATCCATCTCCATAAACTATTTGAAGTATTTGAAGTTTTTCTTGGCTTAGAAAGTTTATCAAGTTAATATAGAGAAAGCGTTACGAAAATCAATGTTCATTTATAGGGAATTTTTGCATCTGCCATCAATTATGGACTCTTGACATGGTGCAATAAGATATTGGGGCCTGCATTGGTCGCTCTTTACAACCCACTTCAACCTGCAGCATCTGCGCTGCTATCAAGAGTTTTCATAGGAAGCCCTATTTATCTCGGAAGGTATTCCTCAATCTTAGTTACATTTTATGCCTTGTTCTTAACAAGATTGATATCAATATGCTCCATGCTAGCTCCTTTTACCTCAACTAAAAGGCAACTGGTATTATTTTCTGCTTGTTGACAGTGTTTTGGGGGGCTCTCTTATAATTGCTGGTCTTTATTTGGTTACTTGGGCGTCACATAGGGAACGACAAACAACTCCAATTTTGCTTCCGCATTCAACCAGGTCCTCTGAACCACTTATTCATAAAGATGCATTGACTAACAAGATTGCATATCAGATAGGACAGATTTTCTCAGGCTCTACATCTTCACCCAAATCTGTAGATTAGACCAAACTCTCTGATGGGATTTTTGATTGAAAGTTCTCACAGTTCAACCTTTTTCAAAAGGGTGATTTTGATTGAAAACCTTCATCATATTGTAATGTTTTCTATGGGATTACATGATTCATTATTCTGCCTGCTCCATGTATTGCTTGTATATTTTTGCTGAATAAGCTATCTATCTCAGAGCTCCAAATGGATCCATTAGCTGCCCTACGTTCCTTTTTCAAGCTTTTTCCTATAGTTGAAAGACTGCATTGGCCATCTTGTGATGGGATTTTTGTCTAATTTAATACGCTATAAGATATTGTGAGTGGTTAGATTGGTTTTGTTGCTATGATCTACCCCCTCCAATTTGTATTATAAATAAAGGTTGAAAGTTAGAACAGGGAAAGGAAGATTACTCTGGAGTAGTTTAGACCAAAAGTTATAAGTCTTGTCTAGAGATATCTACGGGGATGTGAAAGGTATAGGTCTCGTCTAGAGATGTTCATTAGAGAAGAAGAGATGAAAGGTTTATGTGAGATTCTACATCGGTTGAGGAGAGAACGAAACACCCTTTATAAGAGTGTGGAACCCTCTCCCAAGCATACGTGTTTTAAAAACCTTGAGGGAAAGCCAGAAAGGAAAGTCCAAAGAGGACACTATCTGCTAGCGGTGGGGTTAGACCGTTACAATGTAAGTCTTGTCTAGAGATGTCCATGGGGTTGTGAAAAGTATGTCTCGTCTAGAGATGTCCACGGGAGAAGAGATGAAAGGTATCGGTCTTGTCTAGAAATGTCTTCGAGGCTGAGAAAGGTATAGGTCTCGTCTAGAGATGTACACGGGAGAAGAAGAGATGAAAGATATAGGTCTTATCTAGAGATGTCCACGAGGTTGTGAAAGGTATATATCTCGTCTAGAGATGTCCACAGGGTTGTGGATGGGGAAGGCTTCCGATCTCTATCTCTATCATTTATTTCAATATTTATTCCTATGAAAATTTTAATTAATTTTTGTAGGGTTTGGGTTTTCCTCTCCACGAGGTTGTGAAAGATATAGATCTCGTCTAGAGAAGATGTCCACGGGGTTGTGGAAGAGGAAGGCTTCCTATCTCTATCTCTATCATTTATTTCAATCCTTATTCCTATGAAAACTTTTAATTAATTTTGTAGGGATTGAGATTCGGTTCGAGATTTTTTTTTTTTTTTTACATTTATTGTCAACCATAATCATAATTCTTTTTTAAAAAAAAAAATTCTAAATAAATAATTTTAATTATAATGGTTTGAGGAAATTATAATAAAAAAAACTACTTTGAATAAATGAACGCCTCTAATACTATTTTATTCTCCAGGCTCGTGCTTCTAGCGCATATCTTAAGATGGTGGTTAAACAAACACCTTTGAATAGTTATATCTTATAATTAAATGATTAATACTATTTTAGAACATTTATTATTTTTAAGTATAAAATTAAAGTGTGGTTGTTTTTCTAATGGAAATTCAAAATATTATATTACAAACTTATTTAAATTCATAATTTCTTTGTTTTTATTTAAAATATTTTTGAAATTATTAAATCCTTGTCTCTAGAACAAATACGAAAGATCGGATATTAAAATATATGAATATTCAAATTCCTTTTCAATTAATTATGTTCTTGGAATTATTTTACAACAATCAATAAGTATATCATTACCTGGCTGTCACCGAGCTTCCAGCTTATTAGAATAATGATATGAACAATGAGCATCCACTCGAGAGCGGCGGTTCCAAAAGACATCATCGATGCCTTTCGACCCTTTTCTGTGCTTTATCCATCCGCTGAGCAGTAACCCATTTGCCAATTTGCGACCCCTTCAATGGTAACTATCTCTCTCTTTCCCTCTCTTTTTTCCCTTTTGGATTCACCCTTTAATGGGGTTTTGAGCTCTTTCTGTATTGTAACCTTGATTAAAGTGTTCATGGGGTTTTCTTTTCAGCCCACGAATCTATAAAGGCCTGCGTGTCTTTATTGCCTTTTGTTCTTCTTGTTCTTCTTGTTCTTCAGGATTGTGAAGAACTGGATGGTTTCTGGGTCTCTGGCTTGTGGGTATGTGCTAATTGTTCTCGTTCTGGTTCGTTGTTTATGATAGATTCATAGTGTTTTTATGATTGTTGTTGAATAGGTGTTGGAATCTGATTATGGAGATGTTCTTATCTGGGTCTTGATTTGGTTGATTTTGGAGTGTGTTCTGAAATTTGTTTGTGGTGTTCTTCTGTAATTTTTCGTTTTGGCATGCGTTTTGGAGCTTTTGTTGTTGAAAATTGTGTGCAATTCTGTGATGGCTTGAAATGCTATGTAATGGAAGCTTAGCTTGGTGCTTATGACGCGCTACAGAACCTCCACCGTGTTGGGGGACCAAGTAGCTAGCGGCATAGGAGCCGACTCAGTGTCAGCAGCTTTGTGCCGCACTGGAGTAATCCAATACCACTTCTCTGTTCATTTCCAATACTCCTCCTCGTTTTGAGACATTTTCACTTTGGAGTGGTTTATCCGTGGACACCCGTAGGGGCTCTACTGTCGCTTGCTTTCATGTACACGTCTTACCTCTTCCCTACAACCCATGACATACTCGGCTTTCTATCCATGCTTCCTCCAATACTGGAATAGGGTCATTCCTTTACTTTAAGCTTAGGCTGGCCTTAGTGAAAAAATCCGGCATCGCCAAACGAGTGGCGGATTTTCACTCATGTGAATGAAAAATGTGACCCGATTCCTTTGATCGGTCATTTTTTGGGCAGTATGTTCAGTCAAAGTGAGAGAAGTGAGTCGTGAAGGAGTGACACGTCGGTTGGGGAGGAGAATGAAACATTTTTTATAAGGGTGTGAAAATCTTTCCCTAGTAGACGTGTTTTAAAACCATGAGGCTGACAACGATGCGTAATGGGCAAAAACGGATAAGTCTACTAGCGGTGGGCTTGGGCTGTTACAAATAGTATTAGAGCTAGACACCGAGTTGTATGCTAGTGAGGACGCTGGGCTCCCAAAGGGGGTGGATTATGAGATTTCACATCGGTTGGAGAGGGGAATAAAACTATAACAGTCCAAGTCCACCACTAACAGATATTATCTGCTTTTGTCCATTAAGTATCGCCGTCAGCCTCACAATTTTAAAACGTGTCTACTAGGGAGAGATTTCCACACTCTTATAAGAAATGTTTCGTTTCCCTCTCCAACCGACGTGGGATCTCAAAGAAACATTCCTTATAAGAGGGTGGAAACTCTCCCTAGTAGACACGTTTTAAAACTGTGAGGCTGACGACGATGCATGAAGGGCCAAAACGGACAATATCTGTTAACGGTGGGCTTCGGCCGTTACAATCAATTTCCTTTTTGTATATGGATTGAAGCTTCATTGATCTATGACTCCATGAACTCCTCGTCTGATATTCATCGTTTGTCTTCTTTCGGGAAATCGAGTTGTCTTTTGGATAAAACACGAGTAATCGTGGTTGATACCGATTGTTTTCTGTTACGATCATTGCAGGCTTATAGCTTAATCGTTTCCTGCAGATCCGACGTGATTTCATAAGCGATAAACCGAGAGGCAATACCGAAGTACACTCGATATTTCACAACTAAAGCTGATGTTAGTAACTAAGCAATGCAGCTATATCATCATCCGTTCTCTTTGAACAGCCAGAAGGTGAGACTCGCCTTGGAAGAGCAAGGCATCGATTACACGTCGTTTCATGTCAATCCTATCACGGCGAAGAACATGGACGCCTCGTTCTTCAAGATGAACTCAAATGCAAAACTTCCCGTCTTTCAAAACGGTTCCCATGTCATTTTCGACACCATCGAGATAATTCAGTACGTCTTGCTTCTTAATCCTTTGTTCTTACCTTTTTATCGTACAATTTTCATATGCTTCATTCGATTGTATCGACACTCTTGGGAGTAGTTTTGTTTCTTAAAGCTAAATTTATTTGTCCTTTATGAAGTCGAAAACTCGGTTGTATAGCTCTAATGTACTGATATCGAACTCTGTTCAGATATATAGAAAGAATTGCCATTGTCTCCTCGGGGATCGATGACGTAATGCCGAGTAGTCGAGAAGTTGTTGAATGGATGCATAAGATACAAGAATGGAATCCAAAATTTTTCACTCTTGCCCACATTCCTGAGAAGTACCGTCTCGCTGTTACCAAATTTAGAAGGCGGGTAGTGATCGCTCGGATGGCCGAAACTCCCGAAATGGCTGCTGCTTACCATCATAAGCTCCGAGAAGCATACGAGACCGAAGACAAATTGAAAAACAAAACCGTTATCAAACAAAGCACGGAACATCTAGTTGCACTTCTTGATGAAATCGAGTCGAAACTAGGCCAAACGTCTTACTTGGTAGGGGAAGAGTTTACCATGGCCGACGCCGTGTTCATACCTGTGCTGGCTCGGCTCGTTCTGTTGAAGCTGGCCGACGAGTACATCGGTAGCAGACCGAACATTGCAGAGTATTGGATGTTGGTGCAGCAGAGACCAAGCTACAAGAAGGTGATTGGGAAGTACTTCAATGGATGGAGAAAGCATAAAACACTTCTGAAAACTTGGTGTTTTGTTCATATCAGAACCTTGCTGAGGAGATATTGATGAGAAAAGACTAAAAAGTCACGAAAATGTTTATATTTTGTACATTTGAGGGAGGGATTATAGGGGTAAAATGGTAAAAGTGCATGTATTTATTGCCTTTTTTTTTCTTTTACCTCCCTGTTTGTTATGTTTCATTAAGTGTGTTGTGTGTTTGTTTCATTTTGAATTTTGATTTGGATTTCTTAATAAAATGGTATAAAACAAGTGGAATGATATTACATTAATGAAAATTACCTTTTTGCCCTTTTCGATCGTTCGGGTATGGTGAGTTTCTCCCAACAGCATAAGGTTGACTTTCAGAAACTGTGTTGGTAGGACTTTTATCGACAAATTTATAACTTCTCTATCGTTCGGGTTGAGAGAGTTTTCTCAACGGCTCTAGGTCAACATTCATGTTAACCCCACAAAACTATCGGAAAAATTTATCTGAAAATTTAAAACTTCTCTCGATACTTTCAATATTACAATTTTTTTCAAAAAAAAAAAAATCATTTTCTTTCATTCGGGTTGAGAGAGTTTCTCCCACACTCTAGGTCAACGCTCGTGCCCCACGCAAAAACAGTGTCAGCCAAACGTTTTTCGACAATTTAAAAACGTCTCCCCGTCAATTTCTCGTGCCACCCGAAGTCAAAATTCTTGTAGTTTTATAGATTTTTGTTATCTTCCCTACATAAATCATTCTGAATAATTGTGAATTTCGATTTAATTATTTTTTCAAACAAAATACACTAAGAATGTTGAGCATAATATATAATAATAATAATAATCATATGCTTGTTCAGATCATAACATAAAATTTAACCCAAAGTTTTACATATAATTAAAATCCAAGACTTCATAAAGAGTTTAGACTCCAAAAGCATATAATATATAATAACATATGATATTTATATGATATATATATGATATAAAACATGATTAATTGTTCCTTTCTTGTAGGTTTGGCTGAATGGGCTGCACTCTGAACGCAAAGGGCATTTGAGAATTGAAATCTCTCATCCTTTGATTATATCCATTATCCATTTCTCTCACACTATCTCCCATTGCTACCATCTCCTTTTGGTACTGCACTTTTAACACCATCCAATCAAACAATTATTCAAAAAATTAGAAATAAATCCGTTTATTTAATGTAACGACCCGTATTCTAAATTCAAAAAGATTCGGCACCTGATGGTCCCGACATTCTCTTGCATCTCTCTCAACAGGGTTACGTTACTTACTTTACCCTGATTCCAAATCCTTATCTGAATCTCGAACGTGGGTCTTTAGAATTTCCGTCACTATCCTTTTTAACCCGTGTTTGCAAATTTTTAACCTAAATTTTATAACTAAAACCCTTTTATGGCTGAAATTTCGTATGAAAACTTTTGGAAAGGAATTAAAAATAATAAAGGGTTAAAATGGTCATTTTTTAAAAGCACAAAAACGAGAGATGTTTTGTAAGTATAACGACTAAAATGAACTAAAATTTAAAGTATAAACCCTACCGTACTTAAAATCATAATATTATTAAATGTTTTTAAATTTTTATACCTAATTAGTTAAAAAAAAATTAAATTTTAAAGAATTTAAATAAAAAATTTGAAAATCTTTATAATTTATAATTTTTAAAATATAATTTTGAAATATTAAATAGCTTTAAAAAATAAAATATAATTTAATTTAATCAAATGGGAATATTAGAAATTAAATAAATAAATTTACCAGCTCATAATTGAGGCGCTTGTTTTCTTCTTCCATCATTCTTTCCTATAAAACATTCAAACAAGAATATTAATATTATTTATACATCACAAAATATTAATATCTAAATACATTTAATTTAATTTAATTTAATTTTTAATAATAATTTTGTAAGAAATAATTCAAATATTTCTTTATATGAAACCTAGTTTTTTAAATTAAATATTTTTTTTATTTTAATATGTATTTTATAAGCAAAAATGATAATTTGTGTTTTTATTTATATAATTATAAAATCTCTAAAGCAAATTTAAGTAACAAATAAAACCTTAATATTTTAAAAATCATAAAAGAATATCAAAATAAAAGAAAAATAAAAGAATATATATATATATACGTACATTTGTCCTCATCATCTTCATGAGCTCCGACTGTATAATTACCAAACAGGAAAAAAAAAATTAAATTAATAATCAAATTAAAAAAAATAAAAAAATAAAAAAATAAAAAATAAAAAATAGAAAAACCTGCTTCTCACGAACACCAGTAAGGCCATTTTCAAGGGCTTCTTCAAGAGCCATTAGCTCCTTGTAGTTCAAAGATGTTATATCTTCTCCTCTCAAACGCCTATTTTTTTTCATACATTATATATTATTATTTATTAAAATTATAATTCTAATAATTAAATAAATAAATAAATAAAATTATATATACCTGAGCTCAATCTGCATGTTGTCATTTTCTTTCTTAACTCTATCCATTTCATTGCTTAAATTCTGTAATTTTTTTCAAACATAAAAAAGAATTAAACATTTTTATTTACATTTACGATGATTTAATACAATACCCGAACAAAGTCACTCGAGGCTCACAATACTTTGTTCGACATTTGAGCATTCTATTGACATGGCTAAGTTTAGAGCATGACTCTGATATCATGTTGAACACGACTCTCCACCATGATATGATATTGTCCACTTTGAGCATAAGCTCTCATGTTACTCTGTTTTGGGCACGAATAGAGATAGTATTTTTTTTATTATAAACCTATGATCATTCCTTAAATTATCGAGTGTGAGACTTTTATTCAACAAACGCAAATTATAATACTAGATCGAACAGAAGAAGACTCAAGATATCTCGATCTATCAGCTTAAGCTTCTGGGTTTGTTCGGGTTTTGAGACAGTAGATCTCTAAGAAACGATGTTTTTTTTTTTTTTTTGTCTTTTGAGCTGAAAAATACTTCTCTTAGTTTCAACTTTCCTTTTCTATGCAATATATTCACATAAATCATGAAGAAAGAAAAGAACCCATTTGTAGATCAGTTCATAGATTTCAAATCCAAGATTTTCTAACATGATTTTGGCAAAATAAAATGAAACCCACCAATGATTTATGAATATAAACAAAACCCATGTTCCAAATTTTCGTCTAGGGTTTGATTTCCCTATCAAAAAGCTTAGATCTTCAAGTTCATGAGGAGAGAGAAAGAAGAGAGAGAGAAAAAAAAAAACCTCATGCTTAGCATCCCACAGCCTCTTCCCCGATTGCTTATGATACTTATCCAAGATATCAATCAACCTTGTCAACAAAAAAAAAACACACAAAAACATAAGATTATTTGATGTAAAATCAAGAAATATGAACAAAAATTCAATGATTTGAGTATGTTTTTGATATCACTTACGGTGTAGAAGGGCTACAATACTCATGCATTTTGCCAGAGCTAGCAAACACCACAAGAGATACTTGAGCATCACAAAGAACAGTGATCTCTTTGGCCTTCTTGATGATACCATTTCTTCTCTTTGAATAGGTCACTTGCCTGTTGCTTGAGTTCTCAATCCTTTTGATTTCAATCTTTCCTCTTCCCATTTGTTCTCTGTTCTTGTGTTCTTGAGCTAAGGAAGTGGGAATGGGAGTGGGAAAAGGTAGGCATTGAAAGAGGGTTTAATAAAAGGGGTATTCTATATTGGGTTTGGAAGCTTAAGAACTTTCTAAATCATACAGAACATGAGTGCTTGTTTATGGGTTTGTGACAACCCCAAGCCAACTGCCAAAATTGTAAGGGATTATTGATTTTTGGGTCATGTTTGTTGGCTTTAATCTTCATTTAATTCCTCTTGTTGCATGTTATTGACCATTGGGTTTCATCTATTTCTTTCACTTTTGTTACTTTTCATCAAGAACTTGCCTAATCCTTTCTTTCAAATCTATTCATTCAAGTTTTGATTATATGGGTTGCTTGTTTTATTGTGTTAGATGTCTTTATTTTCATTCACGGAGATTGGATTGATCTGGACGAGACTCGAGAGGATTGATATGTATGAGATCTCACGTTGGTTTGAGAAGGGAACGAAGTTTTTCTTGTAAGGGTGTGGAAACCTCCTCCTAATAAACGCGTTTAAAAACTGTGAGGCTGATGGTGATACGTAATGGACTAAAGTGGATAATATATGTTAGTGGTGGGCTTGAGCTGTTATAAAGGGTATCAGAGCTAGACACTAAGCGGTGTGCCAGTGAGGACGTTGGGTCCCCAAGAGATGGATTGTAAGATCTCACAACGGTTGGAGAGGGGAACGAAGAATTCTTATAAGGGTTTGGAAACTTCTCCCTAGTAGACATGTTTTAAAATGACGGTGATACGTAATGGGTCAAAGCGGACAATATTTGTTAACAGTGGGTTTGGGTTGTTACAAATGGTATCAGAGCTAGACACTAAGCCATGTGTCAGCGAGGATGTTAGGCCTCTAAGGGGGAGGGATTGTAAGATCCCACATCGATTGGGGAGGGAAACAAAGAATCCTTATAAGGGTGTGGAAACTTCTCCCTAATAGACACGTTTTAAAACTGTAAGGCTGACGACAATAGGTAACAAGTCAAAGCAGACAATATCTACTAACAGTGGGCTTTGGCTGTTACAATATATCCCTATAAGTAACTACACCAATCCTTACATGTTTTGGCCACATATTTTTTTGATGCAATAAAACACGAGATTAGAGATCAACCAATCCTCGATCATAGGGAAAGGCAGCAAACGAGTATCTCATCCATTAAGCTATAGATGCTCGAACTAACAAACTTTTTGTTCTAACAAGGGTTATAATACTTTAACTAATTAAGCTATGCTCGTGACGTCGTCGACCGTGTGAACATACACCTAACCTAGGGTTAGAATTAGGGAAGTATTTGGAAAGAAAGCAAAAGGGTTTAAAGGGGATGCCCTAAAAGGACAGGTGTCAAGCTTGGAGCATAGGATAAGTGATGAGAACAAATCTTAACCATCAAATCAAAGAATCAAAAGGGTTTTTGGGTGAAGAAAGAGATAGGGAAAGAACATGAGCCAAAATGGCAAAGGGGACAAACCATTTTCTAAGTCACTTTGTAACATAAAAAAGAGAAAGAAATAATGAATTGGGTTCTTGAAAGCCCTTCAAACCCTAACCCTAACCCTAACCCTAACCCTAACCCTAACCCATTCTTTTAACCAACAAATCACAATCAATCTAAT